GCACGCGAGGCCAGCTCCGAGTCCTGGTTGCGCAGCGCCGTCAGCTTCGCCTCCACCTCCTCCGTGCGCGCGCGCTGTCGCGCCTCCTTCTCCGACAGCTCCTTCACCAGCGCCATCAGCTGCTTCGCGCGCTCCCCGCTCGCCACGCCCTCCGCCGCGCGCTCCGCCTCGCGCATGCGCAGCCGCTCCAGCTCGCCGCTCAGCTGCCCCACGCGCGCGCCCGCCTCCGCCGCGCTGCCCTCCAGCGCCTTCACCTGTTCTGTCAGCAGCCCCGCTGCGCACGCGGATACCGCCTCCTGCTCCTCCGCCTTTTGCGCGCGCGCCTCCAGCTGCGCCACTTGCTTCTCCAGCACGTCCGCCGCGCCCCGTCGCCTTCTCCGCCACGCTCGTCGCCGCCTTCAGCCGCTCGCTCAGCTCCTGCACCTGCGCGCCAAGCGCCGACATGCGCTCGCGCGCGTCTTGCGACTCGCTCACGCTTTCCCCCCTTCGCCCCCTCCAGCTCCCGCAGCGTGCGCCGCTTGTCCTCCTCCGCGGCCAGCGCCGCCGCCTCCGCACGCCTGCGCGCGCTGCTCCTCCTCCTTCACGCGCGCGCTGAGGCGCGCCGATGCTCTTCTCCGCGCGCGCGACGGCCGCCCACTGCTCACCTTAACCTCATCCTTCGCGGCCTGCAGCTCCATGCGCAGCCCTTGGATCACCCGCGTCTCCGCGCGCCCGCCGCGCTGCTCGTCCGCCTCCACGCGCGCGCGCAGCGAGCGCACTTCCCCCTCCAGGCGCTCCTTCTCCTCGCGCCCCTGCTGCTCCACGGCGCGCATGCGCTCCCCCAGCAGCTCCATGCGCTCGTTCGCCTGCGCCAGCGCCTCCGTGTAAAGCCGCTCCTTGCGCTGAAGCGCCTCCACCTGCCCCGTCAGCTCCGCCACCTGCTGCCCCGCGCGCTGCAGCGTCGCCGCCTGCTCGCCGCCACGCGCGTCACCCCCTCCAGCTCCTTGCTCAGCGCCGCCACGCGCCGGTTCGCCGCCGCCAGTGCCTCGCTGCTGCCGCGCCCCCCGCGGGGGGGGCGGACTGCGGCGGCGCGGGGGCCTTGGCGGAGTCGCTCCAGCGGATGGGCGTGAGCAGGCGCTGGGGGGGGCGCAGGGCAGGGCGCGGTAGCAGGGCGGGGAGAGAAACGGTTGGGTGCGGTGCGGGCACTGGGGTACGTGCAGAGGGGTTGAAAGTTGAAACAAAGCGAGTGAAGGGCTGAGAGTGAAGGGGCGAGAGTGAAGGGGCGAGAGTGAAGGGGCGAGAGTGCATGTGAAGGGGCGAGAGTGAAGGGGCGAGAGTGCATGTGAAGGGGCGAGAGTGAAGGGGCGAGAGTGCATGTGAAGGGGCGAGAGTGCATGTGAAGGGGCGAGAGGGCAGAGGCGAGAGGGTAGAGGCGAGAGGGTAGAGGCGAGAGGGTAGAGGCGCCTTACCTTGGCGGGCCCAGCAGCCCTCCGCTCCGCCTCCTCTGCCACCTGCTGCTCCCTCGCCTTGCGCTCCGCCGCCTGCAGTGGGGACAAGCAGGGGTGCAGTGCGGCGCCATGAGATGCAGTGCGGTGAGACGTGGCAGTGGAGGGCCAGAGAGACACCAGCGGGTAGAAAAAGGCAAGCAGGCGCGGGTGGGGAAGATGACGTGAAGCAGAGGCGAGGGGAGGGGCGAGGCCACGGAGAGCCCTTGAGGATGGAAGGGTGGCGGGGTGGCGGGGTGGCGTGGTGGGGTGGCGGGGTGGAGGGGTGGAGGGGTGGAGGGGTGGACGGCTCGAGGCACTCACCTGTGCGATAGACTCTGCGAAGCTGACGTCAGCAGCGAGCCATTTGGCAAAGGCTTCGTTGATGTACGCCCGCTGGGCTTGCTGCGCTCACAGAGCCAGGGGGGGCGTTGCGACGGGGGAATTGAGACGGGCGGGGTAGCGGAGCACAGGGTGGAAAGAAGGGGGGAGTAGCGGGGCACAGGGTGGGGAGAAGGGGGGGGTGAGGAGGGAAAGCTGGCGAATGAGTTTTGAGTCGACTCAAAAGATGAAGGAATTCGCAGACTGGGAGGTGAGCAGCACGCGCGCATAGCGGGGCGAGGGGAGGGCAGGGGAGAAGGCCCGGGGGAAGGCAGGGGGGAAGGGAGGGGGAAAGGGAGGGGGCAGGGGGAAGGCAGGGGAGAAGGGAGGGGGGAAGGCAGGGCAGGGGAGCGCACCACCCAGTCGGAGTTGGAGTCGCCGGGCTGCCCCGTGCGCTCGCGCTGGCGGTAGATGCTCTCCGCTATCTCTATCACGCGCGCCGTCGCCCCCGCCAACACCTTCTCCATCGCCTGCCCGCCGCACGGGGGCACGCGGAATGGGGAGACAAAGGCACGGCGGGGAGAGGGAGGGATGGCATAACGTCAGCATGCAGGCGATGATGGCATGCAGGCGATGATGGCATGTAGGCGATGATGGCATGTAGGCGATGATGGCATGTAGGCGATGATGGCATGTAGGCGATGATGGCATGTAGGCGATGATGGCATGTAGGCGATGATGGCATGTAGGCGATGATGACATGCAGGCGATGATGACATGCAGGCGATGATGGCATGCAGGCGATGATGGCATGCAGGCGATGATGGCATGCAGGCGATGATGGCATGCAGGCGGCAGGAAATAGAGCGTGTGGTCTTCGTGCTACGTACTTTACGTACCCACACACCCTCGAGCGGCCCTGCAAGGCATGCAAGCGCCAGCCTGCACGCATCGCATCGCACCACTGCACACCCTTTACCTCTCCGCTAACCGCTACCCCGCATGCCTCTCATGGGAATCCCGCATGCATCATTCCCTCTGTCCTCCCCCTCCCCCCTCTCCCCTCCCCCGCGCACCTCCGTGAGCACGCCCATGGGCGGGCTGATGCCGGCGCGCCTCTCCGCCACGAGCGCGGACGCGGCATCTGCGGGCATGCCGCGCACGAACATGAGGTACCTGCGCGCGCAGCACGGCCGATGCACACAGAACAGACCAGGGGCGAGGGGGGTGCTCAAACAGTCGGCCACTCATGCCCGTGCGTTGCCATACGCTTGTAACCATGTTACCGCTCAAATGTTTTTATTCCGTGTCCCCATTCCTTCGCTTTACCCGTGTACTTCCCCCCCTATCTCACGCGCACCCGGCTTTTAGAGTCGACTCAAAGCTCACCCGATGGCGATGAGCGGCGAGATGCGGTCGCCCGACGAGCACTGCAGCACCACCGTGTGCCCCGCCGCCACCAGCGCCGACACCACCCGCACCACCTGCGGCAGCATCAGCGCCTACCGCCCATGGGAGAAAGGGGTGGGAGGGAGACCAGAGTGGAGGGGAGAAGCGGCCGAGAGGAAGAGCGTTGAGGGGGAGCGGAGCAAGCGGAGACAAGAGACGGAGGACAAGGAGGAGAGGCCATGATAGTCGAAGCATTTCAAGCACCTTATGTGCTCCGTGGCGGCGTGCGCCTCACCTGCTCCGTGGCGGCGTGCGCCTCACCTGCTCCGTGGCGGCGTGCGCCTCACCTGCTCTGTGGCGGCGTGCGCCTCACCTGTTCTGTGGCGGCGTGCGCCTCACCTGCTCAGTGGCGTCGTGCTCCTTGACGGGCACCCACACGGCCACCACGCCTTGCTCCTCCAGCCGCCGCCGCTCCTCGTCCCAGCTGCTGCCGCGCGCCTTCATCGCGCTCTCCTCCTGCACGCCGCCACCAAAGGCACACGCACGCCATGTCATGTCAGCACGCGTAGAAATGGGCACGAGATGTGAGCAAGTGTGAAACGTCACGGGCGTTGGTGTGCGCGACGGGGTTGAGTGCGTACCTCGACGTTAACGTACCTCGACGTTAACGACGGCCGTCATGCCGAACTGCGTCTGCAGCGCGCGCACGTCCTCCGCACCCGCCGTCGTGACGCTCCCGCCGATGGCCACCTGCTCCGTCACCGCCGACCACAGCGGGTCCGCGCGCAGCACTGCGCACCCCACGCGCACGGGGGGACACCACCGCGGCGGATGGCACGAGGAAAAGGGGGGAGGGGAGGCAGAGGGCAGAGGAGGTCGTAAGGAAATGGGGATGACTAGTACTGGCTGGGCCAAGACATTCGCGCGGCACGGGAGCAGGACTGAAGCAGAGGAGGGACGACGGTCCTAGAAGTGCAGCAATTCCCCAAAGGCAGTGCAGGCGCGCGCCCATCCCCATCCACCTACCCGAGCCGTTCAATTGGAGCCGCTCGCTCTGCGGAGTCTCCGCTTCGGCGCTCACGCGAACAACCGCGGACCTGCGCCCACTGTCCGCGCGGCCCCCGGCTGAAGGGAAGAGCGCAGCGGCTGAAGAGGACCGGAGCGCGCGCAGCTGGTGCGCTTGCGGGGCAGCGGAATGCAAGAGCAGCGCGGTTGCCGGGAGGTGGTGAGCGGAGTCGAGGCGGTGAGAGTGGCATGACGCACATGGCTGCAGGTCCGCGCGCAGCACGGCCTTGGAGCTTGCGCCGAGCGCGGAAAGCATGGTGGCGCTGGAAAGCTGTGAGCGGCGAGCCTATGTGCTGTGGCTCGAAGGATTCACCTGAAGATTGGCAAGAATGCTATTTTTTTCGGGGCTGCAGCGTGGCTGGAGGGCTGGACTGGAAGCAGCACACAAAATGGCGTAAGGCTGTGTACCACTGAAACGAACTTGGCATTTCCAAGAAAACGACCATTTCCGTGATGGTGCAAGAGACGTCGAGTCGAGACGAGAGCGCGAATTGGTGGTGAGGAGGGGGGGATTGCAGTGAGTGAATGTGGCGTGCGGGAGCGGGGTGCGTTGGTGGTGGCGAGAATGGGTTTGGACGGATTTGAAGGAAAGGGGGGCCGAACGACGGTCACCAACGAAACGATTCGCGCCCTCGAAACTTCGTTGGAACACCAGTCGCGGATACAGGTCTCCCTCCCAACAACAAGCCGAACGGGCAGATATTGACGTCAAAATCTTCCGCCACGTTGGCGGACTAGCTGTTTCAAGTCCCCCAAAGGGGTGGGTTCAGGAACTTGCCACATCTGCCGTCGATCTCAACAGCCCTCGCCCAATCGTGGAGCTCCCCAGCACAAGGGGAGTGTCATTGGCCCCCAGCGTCGAACCGCTTCGCCTGGGCACAAACCCACAGCCAATGCTGTGCGGTGTAGGCCGAATTCAGGGGTCAAGGATTAGAGATGGATTAGGTGGCTGACAGCAATCGAACACTGCTGCCGCCCACAAGATGTTGCATCCGCGCTAAGGCTGATCGCAAAGCTCTACAGTCATGCTCCCGAAATACATACAATTTGCCCTAGCTTTATCAAGACCCAATAATTAATTATGATCACCATCAGAAGCTTGCATACACACTCAGGAACCAAGCACACTCCATGCTTTATACAATTGCTGCTACAGGCGCTCCATTGCCATAGAGGCGAGTGTTGCTCTCAGGAAGGTCATTGGGGTTGCGCATCACCAGACGACTTCCCTTGTGGCGGCACCTTTCTTCGCTTTAGTATGCTCTTGTCCTGCGGGAAACAAGCCAGTTCCGACGCCAACATACGGTACAAGGAAAAGAGCACTGTCGAAGTGAGGATTTGCGAAAACTATATAAGTGCGCCACATCCACGCACGAGAAGCACCTAAGAAAAACAGTGGTGCATTCATGCACGCATGCAAGAGGCGTGTACCAGCGATGGGAAGGTGGTGCCCTTGAGAGCAGAGACGAACTCCTCCTGCAGCGCTGCCAGGCGCTCCTCCTTGACGCGCGCCTCCTCCTGCATCCACTCCATCTGCTCCTTCATGCTCCGTAATGCCTGTCACCCCCAGTCCCCACACAACGGCAGTTGATGAGGCTCGTATCCCATGGCAAGGGAGGGCAGGGGGGGCATGAAGCACAGCAAACAGCCCCTCAGTCGCAGCATCGGTACTGCACCACACAAACTCATCCACCTGATAAGAGCAACTGGCGGGTGTGAGTGAGCAGCACGGCACGGCTCACCTGGCGGGTGTGAGCAGCAGGGCTCACCTGGCGGGTGTGAGCAGCAGGGCTCACCTGGCGGGTGTGAGCAGCAGGGCTCACCTGGCGGGTGTCAGCAGCGGCGGAGAGCATGTGGGCGCTGCGTTCGAGCTCTCTCTTCATGAGCCCCAGCGCCTGGTCGCGCTTCGCCACGCCCCGCCGTAGCGACTCCCTCTCCATCTCCAGCTCGCGCGCCCTCCTCTCCGCCTCCCTCAGCGCCTGCAGCAAGGGGAGACAGAGGTGATTTTGTGCGCGTGGGGAGAGTGGTGGTTTTGTGGGGGTGGGGAAAGTGGTGGTTTTGTGGGGGCGGGGAGAGTGGGGGTGAAGCAGCGACTCCATCTCCAGTTCCGCGCCCTCCTCTCAGCCTCCCGCAGCGCCTGCCCCCCGCCAGTTACACCACACACGAATAGAGAATCGGGGAGGGGTGCCGAAGGAAGGGGGGAGAGTGGTGGTTTTGTGTGGGGAAGAAGGGCATACGGTAAGCAAGGGAAGGAGGGTGAAGCAGCAATGAGATGATGCGAGGCCCGGCACAAGCATGAGATGATGCGAGGCCCGGCACAAGCATGAGATGATGCGAGGCCCGGAACAAGCATGAGCTCTGCCCTCGCACCCACCACCTCCACCCTTTCACCACACCACCCGCCAATGACTCACGAGCTCTCCACCCTCCAATGACTCACGAGCTCGGCGCGCTGCGCGCGGATGTTCTCGGTGGTGTCGCGGCGCAGGCTCTCCACCTCCGCCTCGCGCTGCTCCAGCTGTTCCACCAGCTCCGCCTCTCGCTCCCGCGCTGCATTCAGGTCCTGCCACCACCACAAGCAGGGTGGGTGGGCGGGCAGGGGACAAGCATGGGGAGGCTTTTGAGTCAAATCAGAAGCTGCTCCAGCTGCTCCGCCTCTCGCTCCCGCGCTGCATTCAGGTCCTGCCAGTGCCACCAGGGTGGGAGAGGGACAAGCATGGGGAGGCACAGGTGGTGCAAGGGGTGAGCGCGAGCACCAACGAGAAGAGCACCAACGAGCAGAGCACCAACGAGCAGAGCACCAACGAGCAGAGCACCAACGAGCAGAGCACCAACGAGCAGAGCACCAACGAGCAGAGCACCAACGAGCAGAGCACCAACGAGCAGAGCACCAACGAGCAGAGCACCAACGAGCAGAGCACCAACGAGCAGAGCACCAACGAGCAGAGCTCATGACCGCTCGTGATCCATGCAATGCTTACTTGCCTACTCTCTCCTGTCTCATTGCACATTCTTCTTACCCTCACCAGTTTCTGCTCTCACCCTGTTTGCCTTACAATCCCATCCCATGTGTCCCCGTGCCTGCACCACCCAGCAGCACTCCCTGCCGCCCACCTGGTTCATCTGGGCAGCGGTGCACAGGGCGTCAGCAGAATCTGACTTTTTGGGATCTCAGGAAACAGATTCAGCATACAACTCCCTGCCGCCCACCTGGTTGATCTGAGCGGCGGTGCGCAGGGCGTCAGCAGAGGAGACAGCGTTGGCGCGGATGTCGCTGAGCAGCTGGTCCTGCTGCCGCACCTCCGCCTCCAACGCCACCACCGACCCCTGCAGCGCTGCTATCCGCGCCTCCGCCCCCGCTAGCTCCTGCCCTCCGCCGCACACCACACACCACACACACAATGGGGGGAAGGGGGCAGGCGGAAGAGGAGAAGGGGAAAAACAATCGACGCAGGGAAGAAGGGGACAAACAATCGACGCAGGGAAGAAGGGGAGAAGAGAAAGAGGGGATGTGGGAAGGGTGGAAAGCGAAGCACGGTACAGGGAAGGGGGAAAGGGGGGAAAGGGGGAAAGTGAGAGAGAGTGCAGATGGAAGGAGGGGTGGTGGAGTGGGCGAGGCAAGGCAAGGCTGTTGCCGTATGTGACCTTGCGAGTGTTGGCAGCAGCGAGCAGCATGTCGGCATTGCGCATGGTCTCCTCCTTCACGGCCGCCAGCAGCGAGTCCTTGCTCGCTGCCACCTCCTGCTCCCACGCCCACACACCACACGGGAGCACGAGGGCGCGAGATGGGGTGGGGAGGCGGGTGGAAGAGAGAGGGTTGGTGAGAGGGCTACACGGACCAGGGGTTACCAGCACAACATCATCCCCTGCATCAGGTCAGACCACGAGGCACGCACATGCCACCTCGTGAATCCCATCCCACCACCCCTCCCCTCCCTTCCCCTCCCCTCCCCTCCCCTCCCCTCCCCTCCCCTCCCCTCCCCTCCCCTCCCCTCCACTCCCCTCCACTCCCCTCCCTCGCCCACCTTGAGAGAGTCCACCTCGCCTTCCAGCAGCTGCACGCGCGCCTGGGCCTCCATCAGCCGCTGCTCCGCGCTCATCTGCCCCGCCACTGCTGCTGCCGCCACCGCCCTCTCCTCCTCCACCGCCGCCTCCGCCTGCTGCCTGCCCGCCTGCTCCTCCCTTGCCTGCCGCGCTGCCTCCTCCAGCGCCTGGGGGAAGCGGAAAGACGGAACAGGGGGGAGGGGAGGTCGCGGCTTTTGAGGCGCCTCAAAAGAAGTAACAGGGGGGAGGGGAGGTGGCGGTGATGTGAAGGGCAGGAAGAGATTGGGGCAGGCCAGAGCTTGTACCCGGGATGAGTAGCTTGACCCCCTCACTCAACCCTGTTGGAGTAGGCTAGAGCTCGCTCTGGTCTTTATTTTGGTGTTCTTATATTATTTCTCTATGCTTATGGAGCGTTACGCATTCAAGTTCATTTTAGGTTCATTTTGTAGCTTTTAGTACAAACCGAACACACCCTAGGTTCAATTAGGGTTTCCAACCATCTCTCTTTTGTACCTCGACATTTCTCTTTCTAGTTCAACTTTTTCGACCCTACCTAACTCTCTCGCCATCCATGGCTCCTCTCATCTTAACATGGTATTCAGAGCGTAGTCCTAGGTGTTTCATATTCATCCGCATTTCTTAGGCCGTTAGGCCGTTTTCCGCGCTACTTAGCTAGACGATTTTTTTATATATTTTTTTTCCTTTCCTCTCGTTTCTTTCCCCTCACTCTTAGCATCCGCGCGGTTCTCTTCGTTATACTCGCTCGGGTGCCCTAATCTAGTCCGAAGCGCGCCTCCCTACGGTTCAGATCATCCGTCCGCACCTTCCCTCTTCATCCCGCTTCCTCCTCCTCACGTTTCGGACGGTAGCACGGCGATTTCCGCCTGTAGCGCGCTCAGCCGTCCCCTCCCCCCTCCCTGTCTCGTCGCGCGCGCATTGCGCTCCTGCCGCCGCGCGCGCTAAGCACCGTCCAGCAGCGCGCGTGCCTGCCCTTCCTTGCGGTGCGCTCTGCCCTTCCTCAATCCGCCCCTTCCCTCACCCTCCTCCTCCTTCCCTCTCTCCTTTGTGCTTCCCCCAATACCTCACCTCTTCCTCCTATTTTCTCTCCCCATCTGCTGCGGCTCGTAGCTCCTTGTGGCGCGCCCTGCCCTTCCCACAATCCGCCCCTTCACCCTCCTCCTCCTCCCCTCTCTCCCACTAGTTCCCTCTCCACTATCTCACCCCTCATCCACCTCTTTTCTCTCTTCATCTGCTGCAGCTGGTAGCTGATTGTGTTGTGTAGCTGTTGTTCCTCCACACCTTCCCTCCTCCTCAACATCCTCCTCTCAACTGCTCAACTGCACACTCTTCCCAATTCTCCCTCCTCCTCTTGTTTCTCCCTTCAGCGGCACAGCAGCAGACTTCTCCGCCGCTATCCCTCCTCCTCTGGTTTCTCCCCTCATCGGCGCAGCAGCAGACTACTCCGCCATTTTCCCTCCTCCTCTGGTTTCTCCCCTCATCAGCGCAGCAGCAGACTACTTCGCCATTTTCCCTCCTCCTCTGGTTTCTCCCCTCAGCTCAACCTCCGCAGCTGCCCTCCTACTGCCGCCGCTGTCACACCCTCTTCCGCCCCCCCACCCTCTCCCCACCTCCACTGCCGCCGCTGCTTCCTCTCGCCCTCGCAACACCTTTCCTCCTTGCACCTACATCATTCGCCAGGGGCCCCGCAAGGGTCAGCCCTGCGGTCGCACCAATCATCCCGCCTCCTCCTGCTTCCAGAAGCTCACCGATGACTGGTTCCTGGCTGGCAACACTGGTCGCCCTCCCAATTGGCTTCAACTCTCTCGTCAGCGTCGCCAGTCTTCTGCCCAGGCGGTACTTGTGGTTGCCGACTCTGGTACCAGTGCTCAAACCTCTGCTCTCATTGTGACTATGCCTAGTCAGGATAGCATTCCGGGGCTTCTCCCCTTATGGACCCTCGTTTTGCCATGATGTTTGCTCCTTCTGTTAATGGCAATGATTCTCAGTATCTTCGTCCCACAGCTGCTGCTCTTTCTCTCCCTCACACTCTTGAGTTTGTTCTTGACAGTGGTGCCACTGACTCTGTTTTTCGTGACGCTGGCGTGCTTCGCTCTTTTCCCCATCCCCTCTCCATTCAAGGAGCTGGGGATACCATGACCATGACTTGCACTGCTACCTCCTCTCTTCCCTGTCCTGCCTCCCCCTCTGGTGCTGTGACTGGCCTCTATGTCCCTTCCTGCCGCCACAACCTTCTCTCTCTCTGCTCTTTGTGTGCGAGCTATCTTTCCTGAATGTGACTCCTATTTTGATCTCTATCATCGCAACCGCCATCTTGCACGCTTTACTCTTTCCCCTATCGCTCGCCTCTACACTCTTCGTGTCTCTCTCCCCCCTTCTACCCATCATGCCTCTTCCGCTTCCGCCCCTCCCGTTCCTTCTTGCGACTGTCGTTCTCTCACTCAACCTACCCTTCTCCTCCATCATCGGCTTGGCCACCCCAATTTTCCCCTTCTTCGCAGTATGGTCTCCTCCAAGCTTCTTCATGGCCTCCCTTCCTCTCTCCCCCCCCTTCCTCCCTCTCCTGCTCCTCCATGCACCCCATGTGTCCAGGCCAAATTATCCCAGTCACCCCATCCTTCTTCTCCCTCTGCCTCTCCCCAACCCCTTGACCTTGTTCATATGGACCTCTGGGGTCCTTCACCTACTGCTTCTCGTCAGGGTCATCGCTACTTTCTGCTTTTGGTTGATGACCACTCACGATTTGCCATTGTCTATCCCCTCCGTGCCAAATCTGACGCTCCCTCCCTCATCATTCGCTGGGCTGAGCAGGCTCGTCTACGCTTTAAGCATCCTGTCACGCGCTTCCACTCGGATGGTGGTGGTGAATTCTTTAATCATTCTCTCTCCTCTTACTGTGCCTCTCATGGCATTCGCCAGACCTCCACTCTTCCTCACTCACCAGAACAGAATGGGGTTGCCGAGCGTCGCAAACGCACTCTCATGGAAATCACTCGCTGCCTTCTCACCCATGCCTCTGCTCCCCACTCTCTTTGGAGCTATGCTCTCCTCCATGCCACTCTACTCTCTAACCTCCGCCCTCATCCTCTTCGCCCTACTACCACCCCCTTCCAGCTTTGGACTGGCCGCCAGCCCTCTGTTCGCCCTCTTCGGGTCTGGGGATGTGTCGCCCATGTTCTTGTCAATCCAGCAGACCGGTCCCGTCAGGGTGGGAAACTCGCTCCCAAGACGCAGCTCTGTGCATTCCTTGGCATCAACTCTGACTGTCCTGGCTATCTTTTCAATGCCCCTTCCTCTCACCAACTCATCCGCAGCCAGGACGTCATTTTCGATGAGACTCAATCCCCATTCCATTCCCCCCCACCCGCCCCTCCTGTCCCCTCTCTTCACTGGTCTGATTTCGATCAGCCGCCGTCTGTCCTTCCCTCCCCTCCCCCCCCCCCCCCTCCTATCCCGCCCCTTCCCGCCCCTCCCTCTGCGCCAGCCTCTACTGCCCCCCCTTCCGACATCATCTCTGGCGCCTCCCCACCCGCCTCTTCCTCTTCGGCTCCCCTCCCTTCCTCACTTCCATCTTCCTCTCCACCTCCTTCGTCTGTTCCCATTCCCCCCCCTTCCCCACGCCTTACTCGCTCCATGACTCGCGCACTTTCTAATTTTCAGCACTCTGCTCTTTTCACTCGTCTTTCTCCATCTCAGAATGTTACTCTTCTTGAAGATCGCTTTGAGGAGCTCTTCAACATTCATCCTGTTTCTCCTCTCCTGTGTGTCACCGTTGGTGACTTTAGCAATTCTCCCACTCTTCTCTCTGTCGACACCGCTGCCATCCCCACCCCTCAGTCCTACTCCGAGGCTGTGTCGGGCTTTCATGCCACTGAGTGGATGGCTACCATCATTGCTGAGTGTGAGGCATTCACCAGAACTAATTCATACATTGACTGTCCCTCCTCCTGGCGCCACCATTGTCAAGGGCAAATGGGTCTTCCGTGTCAAGCAGCTGCCCGGCGAACTTCCTGTCTTCAAAGCCCGCTACTGTGCCAAGGGGTTCACTCAGCGTGAAGGCATTGATTACTTTGCCACTTACTCCCCCACAGCCCGTCTCCCCACCCTTCGCCTCCTTCTTGACTTAGGTGCTCGCTGGAATTGGGAGATCCATTCCATGGACGTTTCCAATGCTTTCCTCCAGGGCGAGCTGCATGAGCGCATATTCCTTGAGCGCCCCGCTGGCTTTCCTCGCCCTTTCCCTCCAGGCACGATTTGGGAATTGAAACGACCTGTGTATGGCCTTAAACAGGCCCCACGCGAGTGGCACGCCAAGCTCGCCTCCACCCTTCACTCTCTTGGCTTCTCTACCTCCACCTCCGACCCCAGTCTCTTCATTCGCACATCCCCCCACAGGCTTTACATCCTTGCCTATGTGGACGATTTGGTGTTACTTGCTGAGGACTCCGCCGATCTTGCAGTTGTCAAGAAGGCCCTGCAGGCGCGTCTCCTGTGCAAGGACCTTGGCGAGCTTTGTCACTACCTCGGCATGGAGATCCGTCGTGATCGTGCTGCCCGCACCATCTCTCTCTCCCAATCTTTCTATATCCAGTCCATCCTCCAGCGGTTTGAGATGTCGCAGGCCAAGCCGATCTACACCCCTCTTCCCGCTAACCATCAACTCACTGCCCCTGCCGTCCCTGCTCCCTCCTCTGAGCTGCGGCCTTATCCTGAGCTCGTTGGATCTCTCATGTATGCTATGATGTGCACTCGCCCCGACCTTGCTTACCCCCTCAGTGTTCTCTCTCGCTTTGTTGGTCTAGGCCACCACACTGACGTGCACTGGGCGGCTGCTAAGCGCGTCCTGCGCTATCTGCACGCCACCTCTGACCTTGCTCTCACTCTTGGTGGCTCTGTTCCTCCCGTTCTCTCCGGCTACAGTGACTCTTCCTATGCTGACTCCCGCCCTGATCGCCGCTCATCTCAGGGCTATGGTTTCACTCTTGGCAGTGGTCTCATAAGCTGGCGCTCTACTCGCTCATCCTCTGTCTGCCTTTCCACCTGTGAGGCTGAGTTGTACGCAAGCACCTTGGCAGCTCAGGAGGCTCGCTGGCTCTCCTTTCTCCTTGCTGAGCTTGGTCACTCTCAGTCCTCTGTGACGCTCTCCTGTGACAGTGCGAGCATGATTCATCTCACTAAAAATCCTGTCTATCACGCCCGCAGCAAGCATATCGAGGTCCGCTATTTCTTTGTGCGCGAGCTGGTGCAGTCTGGTTTCTTACGTCTGCGCAAGGTGGACGCTGCTGCCAACCTTGCTGACATTTTCACCAAGGCCCTTCTGCGTGCGCCACACCGTTTCTACGTGCGCGAGCTTGGGCTCACGCGTCTCTCCACTTCTGGGGGTGTGTTGGTTCGCTAGGTGTTTTGCTCCAGAGCTTCACCTAGCCTGGGGGTGTGTTGGAGTAGGCTAGAGCTCGCTCTGGTCTTTATTTTGGTGTTCTTATATTATTTCTCCATGCTTAGAGAGCGTTACGCATTCAAGTTCATTTTAGGTTCATTTTGTAGCTTTTAGTACAAACCGAACACACCCTAGGTTCAATTAGGGTTTCCAACCATCTCTCTTTTGTACCTCGACATTTCTCTTTCTAGTTCAACTTTTTCGACCCTACCTAACTCTCTCGCCATCCATGGCTCCTCTCATCTTAACAAACCCCTCCCCACTCAACGCCTCCCCACTCAACCCCTCCCCACTCAACCCCTCCCCACTCAACCCCTCCCCACTCAACCCCTCCCCACTCAACCCCTCCCCACTCAACCCCTCCCCACTCAACCCCTCCCCACTCAACCCCTCCCCACTAAACCCTCCCCACTCAACGGCTCCCCACTCAACCCCTCCCCACTCAACCCCTCCCCACTCAACCCCTCCCCACTCAACCCCTCCCCACTCAACGCCTCCCCACTCAACCCCTCCCCACTCAATCCCTCCCCACTCAACCCCTCCCCACTAAACCCCTCCCCACTCAACCCCTCCCCACTCAACCCCTCCCCACTCAACCCCTCCCTACTCAACCCCTCCCCACTCAACCCCTCCCCACTCAACCCCTCCCCACTCAACCCCTCCCCACTCAACCCCTCCCCACTCAACCCCTCCCCACTCAACCCCTCCCCACTCAACTCCTCCCCACTCAACGCCTCCCCACTCAACCCCTCCCTACTCAACCCCTCCCCACTCAACCCCTCCCCACTCAACCCCTCCCCACTCAACCCCTCCCCACTCAACGCCTCCCCACTCAACCCCTCCCCACTCAACCCCTCCCCACTCAACCCCTCCCCACTCAACGCCTCCCCACTCAACCCCTCCCCACTCAACCCCTCCCCCCACACACACCAATTGAGCCCCTCGTTCGGCCCTCCACAGCCGTTCACCCTGCCTACCTGCTGCGTGGCTTGCAGCTGCGCCGTGCCTACCTGCTGCGTGGCTTGCAGCTGCGCCGTGCCTACCTGCTGCGTGGCTTGCAGCTGCGCCGTGCCTACCTGCTGCGTGGCTTGCAGCTGCGCCGTGCCTACCTGCTGCGTGGCTTGCAGCTGCGCCGTGCCTACCTGCTGCGTGGCTTGCAGCTGCGCCGTGCCTACCTGCTGCGTGGCTTGCAGCTGCGCCGTGCCTACCTGCTGCGTGGCTTGCAGCTGCGCCGTGCCTACCTGCTGCGTGGCTTGCAGCTGCGCCGTGCCTACCTGCTGCGTGGCTTGCAGCTGCGCCGTGCCTACCTGCTGCGTGGCTTGCAGCTGCGCCGTGCCTACCTGCTGCGTGGCTTGCAGCTGCGCCGTGCCTACCTGCTGCGTGGCTTGCAGCTGCGCCGTGCCTACCTGCTGCGTGGCTTGCAGCTGCGCCGTGCCTACCTGCTGCGTGGCTTGCAGCTGCGCCGTGCCTACCTGCTGCGTGGCTTGCAGCTGCGCCCTGACAGCGTCCGCCTCCTGGCGGCTCTGCTGCATCTCGCGCTCCTTGCGCTGCACCTCACTCTCCAGCCGTCCCACCCGCCCCGCCATCTCCTCCGCTGTCATGCGCACCTCCGCCAGCTCCTGTGAGCGCCCACGGCGCCACCCCATCACGTCAGCGTGGAGAGAGGGTAGGGTGGGGGGGAAAGGTGGAGTGTGGCAGAGGATGAGGATGGAAACATTGGAAAGCGATGAGATGCGTTGACTTTTGAGTCGACTCAAAAGTCAACTCTCCAGCCGCCCCACCCGCCGTGCCATCTCCTCCACTGCCATGCACGCCTCCGCCAGCTCCTGTGAGCGCCCACGCCACCACCGCAGCAGCAGCGGTGGGAGCAGGGACGGGGAGAGAGTGGTTGATGAGGATGCAAGCCGGTGGGGAGGAGCAAGATGCGTTGGGAAATGGCAAGTGAGGGAATGAGGAGCAGTGGCAGGCATTGCTGATGCAGTGGCAGGCATTGCTGATGCAGTGGCAGACATTGCTGATGCAGTGGCAGGCATTGCTGATGCAGTGGCAGGCATTGCTGATGCAGTGGCAGGCATTGCTGATGCAGTGGCAGGCATTGCTGATGCAGTGGCAGGCATTGCTGATGCAGTGGCAGGCATTGCTGATGCAGTGGCAGGCATTGCTGATGCAGTGGCAGGCATTGCTGATGCAGTGGCAGGCATTGCTGATGCAGTGGCAGGCATTGCTGATGCAGTGGCAGGCATTGCTGATGCAGTGGCAGGCATTGCTGATGCAGTGGCAGGCATTGCTGATGCAGTGGCAGGCATTGCTGATGCAGTGGCAGGCATTGCTGATGCAGTGGCAAGCATTGCTGATGCAGTGGCAGGCATTGCTGATGCAGTGGCAGGCATTGCTGATGCAGTGGCAGGCATTGCTGATGCAGTGGCAGGCATTGCTGATGCAGTGGCAGGCATTGCTGATGCAGTGGCAGGCATTGCTGATGCAGTGGCAGGCATTGCTGATGCAGTGGCAGGCATTGCTGATGCAGTGGCAGGCATTGCTGATGCAGTGGCAGGCATTGCTGATGCAGGGCAGGCATTGATGATGCAGTGGCAGGCATTGCTGATGCAGAATGCACGAGAGCCCTTGCACCCCGCCCCATGCCGGTCTACACATCGCACGTTTTTCCATGAAGCCCCCATCCTCCCATTCCCTCTCCCCCCCCTTCCAGGCGGTGGTGCGCTGTTTGAGACGTCTCAAAAAGTTACTCATATCACGTGGCCTTCCCCCCCTCCAGGCGGTGGTGCACGTACAGCAGTGACGCGCGCGGTGTTCTCGCGCTCGCGGCGGGTCTTGGCGCGCTCCTTGGCCAGCTGGTCGCCCATCGACTCCAGCTGCTCCTCTATCCTCAACGTGCGGTCCCGCGCCGCCACCATCGCCTGTCAGCCCGCTCCCACACACACACGGACAGGACAGGACACCACGGGGAAGGAGGGGAACGGGAGGGAGAGGGGTGGGACGGGAAGGGACGATGCAGGGAGGGAGGCAGGGAGGCAGGGTTTTATTTAGAATTCTAAAAAAAACCCTGCAGCATAAAGCATGAAGAAATGTGTGTTGCTGCTGGACAGTGATCCTGTAAGAAATGCCATCACTCTATCCTCTATTTGCTTCCCTACCCACAGCACCGCAACCCAGCCCAGCCCAGCCCAGCCCACCCCATCTGATACCATTCTGGGGAAGCGAAACCCTTCCCAGGCAAACAAACCCCCCATCCCCCCCTGCGCACCCTGGCGGCCTGTTTGAGCGCGGAGGCGGAGAGCGCAGCCTCCTCCTGTAGCTGCTGCAGGAAGGCGTCCCGGTGCGCTATGCCCTCAGAAATGAACATGCCGGCACTCAGTCGGCTATGCAATTCCCGACCCACACCACCACAGCCAACCCCACCCCACCCCACCCCACCCCACCCCATCTGACACCAGCCAGTGCAGCATAACCATTGTGAGGCAAAGCGCCTAACCCCCCCAGCCCACCCTGGCGGCCTGTTTGAGCGCGGAGGCGGAGAGTGCAGCCTCCTCCTGCAGCTGCTGCAGGAAGGCGTCCCGGTGCGCTATGCCCTCCTGCGCCTCCATCAGCTGCCGCCTCATCCTCTCCTCCCTCCCCGCCGCCGACTCCAGCTCCTGCCCGCACCAAGCCCACGTGGGTCGGTTGTGGTGGGGTGGTGGGGCGGAGAGGACGGGATGGATGGCAGGGGTGTGGGAGAGGGAGACAAGACGAGACAATTGAGTGGACGGAGACGGAAGGGGAAGAGGAAGGAAAAGGATGCGAGTGAGAGGAATGGTAGATGGGGGATGGAGGACGGAAGAGGTTATCAATATGGATGTTGAATGCGGTAGAGTGCGGTGCAGTGCGAGGGGCGGGCAGCGCACCTTCTGCATGCGCTGCTGCTGCTCCGTCATCTCCCGCCTCAGCTCGTCCTTCTCCACCCGCGACCGCTCCTCCACCGCCCTCATTTGCTGCTCCCCGCGCCGCGTGGCCCCATGCACGCATGCAAACGCACACATGCACGCATGCACACACAAATGCATGCACGCACACCAGCACACAGGCAGGAATGAAATCTTTGAAGCGAAAGCAGAAATGAAGAAAAGAAAGCGAGAAGAGATGAGGTGAGGAAGGAAGGAAAGGAGAGATCACAGGAGGGGTCACAGAAGAGAGCAAGGGTGGGTGCCACGAGCTCCTCCCCTCAAGGCGGTGGGGGCAACGCAGGCAGCAAGGCAGAATGGCGTGGGGTGAGGCGCACCTGCTTGGTGGACTTGGCGTGGGCGAGCAGGCGTTCGAGCACGGTGTCCTTGTGGGCCGCCTCCTTCTCCATGACTGCAAACTGCACCTGCATGCGCGCCACCATCTCCTCTGCTCTCCGCACCACTGCGCCCTGCCATGTGCCATGCCATGCCATGCCATGCAATCCCCGCACATGCCATGCCCGCACATGCCATGCCCGCACAATGCCATGCCCACACATGCCATGCCCGCACAATGCCATACCCACACATGCCATGCCCACACAATGCCATACCCACACAATGCCATGCCCACACATGCCATTCCCGCACAATGCCATGCCCACACATGCCATGCCCACACAATGCCATGCCAACACATGCCATGCCCACACAATGCCATGCCCACACAATGCCATGCCCATGTACCCATACGATTTTATTTCAGCACAGAGCAGATGCACAGCATAGAGCAGATGCACAGCATAGAGCAGATGCACAGCATAGAGCAGATGCACAGCATAGAGCAGATGCACAGCATAGAGCAGATGCACAGCATAGAGCAGATGCACAGCATAGAGCAGATGCACAGCATAGAGCAGATGCACAGCATAGAGCAGATGCACAGCATAGAGCACATGCACAGCATAGAGCAGATGCACAGCATAGAGCAGATGCACAGCATAGAGCACATGCACAGCATAGAGCACATGCACAGCATAGAGCAGATGCACAGCATAGAGCACATGCACAGCATAGAGCAGATGCACAGCATAGAGCAGATGCACAGCATAGAGCACATGCACAGCATAGAGCACATGTCAGCGGCTGTCAGATTGCAGTCCCATGCTGCCTCACGCTATCACAGAGCAATGCCTCATGCCGGGTGCAAGCACACTGCTACCACACCCAACCTGCTACCACACCCAACCTGATACCACACCCAACCTGCTGCTCCCACCAGTGACCCTGCCCGCTGCCGGCGCCAGCAATGCTGTGAGCATGCGCTAGGAGCACAGCATCAGGCACACCAACCCCATCCCCGCACCCCACCACCCACGATAGCCCCACCCACACGCCCTGCCACCCACACGCCCTGCCACCCACGTGCCCTGCCACCCACGTGCCATGCCACCCACGTGCCATGCCACCCACACGCCCTGCCACCCACACGCCCTGCCACCCACGTGCCCTTCCACCCACGTGCCCTGCCACCCACGTGCCATGCCACCCACGTGCCCTGCCACCCACGTGCCATGCCACCCACGTGCCCTCCCACCCACGTGCCCTGCCACCCACGTGGCCTGGCGCCCACGTGCCCTGCCACCCACGTGGCCTGGCGCCCACCTGGCCGGCAGCTGGTTCGCTGGAGCGGATGCCCGTGATGAACTGCGTTGACTCGCCCATCTCCTGTGACCTCGCCATGCCACACCATGCCATGCCAGGCCACGCATGGGGGGGAGAGTAGGCGTGAGGGTGAGTGTGTCTGTGCGTGTGGTGCGTGTGTGTGCATGCTAACGAGATGGCAACGGGACAAGTCATGCAGGCTCTGCTGGTACGATGCAACGTACTGGTCCAGCACGGCACGGGGACCGGGCATGGCGGTGCACACACACGGGTACCTTGTGGCGGGCGGACAGCCCGCTCTCAAGCTGCTCCATGCTCTTCGCCATGTTCGACAGCAGCGCGCGCGCCTGCAGGTACGTTCCGCTGCCCGCCGCTGCCTCCCCCCCTCCGCTCTGCCCTGGCCCAGGCGCCCCCGCTCCTCCTTCCCCCGGTCTCTCCCCTCGCCCCGGCCCAGCCCCCGCCCCTTCCGCTACCCCCGCGCCCGCCCACGTTGCGCCCGCCACGTGCACGCCGCGCCACAGCTCTGGCCGCCCCGCCAGCTGCTCCCGCACCACTGACCCCTCCGGCACCTCCTGCTCCCCCGTCCCCCTACCGCCCTCCTCGCCCCCTTCCCCCTGCTCCTGCCGCGTCTCGAGTTGACCCGCGCCCTCACTCCCCCGATCGATGCCCGCGCCTCTGCTCTCATCACTCCCCCCATCGCCGCCAGCAGCGCCAGGCTCTGCGGAAGCGGCGGGGAGGGCCGCGGAGTCAGTAGGACGCGGGAAGAAGGGTGGGGGGAGCCTGCGGGCGGGGGAAAGGAGGAGGGGAGGGGGAGGTGAGGCCAAGGGGGCGCATGAGCATGGGCGGAGCAAACGAGGAGTGCGTGGAGCGAGGGGCGTTGCCCGTAGTGTACGCGATACATCGTCAATACCCGTTACAACGGTATTGGGTGTAACATATCGACCTTACTCCCCTCAACCCCCTTTCGCCCCTCTCCATGTCCACCTGTATTCCTTTCCGCCTTGCGCGCCGTCACTTCCTTCCCAAGACCCTGCGTCCTCCTCCGCCTCCTCCGCGTCCCCCGGCGCGCGCATGCGCCGTTGCTCCTCCGCCTGCAGCAGCTCCAGCAGAAGCTGCTCGCCCGCCTCGCCCTCCCCGCCGCCCTCGCGCCCCATGCTCCGCAGGATCGACGCGCGCCCGTCCGCCTGGGCGCGGGTGGCCTCCGCCATCTCCTCGTGCACGCGCGCCAGGATGTCCGCCAGCTCCGCGCTCTCCGCCTTTGCACTCGCCCCTGCACCCTTATCCCCGATATTATCTGCTTCGTTCGCAGCAATTCCATCCGCGTCTTCGCCGCTCGCGGCAGCGATGGGCCGGCTGAAATGACCGCGGCTCCGCGCGAGGTTCCCGCTCTGCCGACCGGGTAGACGCGACCACCGTAGCGATACAGAATGCCGGAGAAGCTGATAGCGAGACGTCGGAACTAAGGGCCGCCATTGGTGGTTGGACGCGGGGGCGCGAAGGGTGGTTTCAGAGTGCAAGCGGGCATGCAGCGGGTGGCGCGAAGCAGGATACGCCTCCATGCGCTTGCCCTGCCGACAAAGGAGCGGGCAAGCGTCGTGTTGCCGCGGTTCTTGAGACAACCTTTTGAGGCGTCAGACACAAACGCTTTCACAGTCAACAGTCATAGTGCTCGTGGAAGGTGACGCGAAACAGAAAAGAACAAAACTAGCAGACGTGATTGTGAACTTGCCTGCGATATCATGGGATGGGCATGGGTTGTCTGAAAATGCTGGTGGAAATGGGCATGCTGGTTTGGTTGCACGCAACAGCGATGAGAGAGAGACACGCAGCCGATGAGCGGGAAGAGAACGCTCTTTTGAAAAGCAGGTGGCGATGCGATGCGGGTAACAGGAGTTCGGATAACGCTGTGGAACCTGGCCGCATATGATGCCTTGGCGAAGTTGTGCGAAGCACCTCGACGATAGGGAGGAAATGGATAAAGCTATGTTGCAAAATAACAATGTTACAAAACATTTCTTGTTGTTATCATTCTCTTGAACATACTGTATGACCTTATTTAGTTATCAAACATGTGAAGGGAGTTACCAAACGCATGAAGCAAACTACCAAACGAGTAAACAATCATCGATTACCATACGCAATTTTAATCTATGCAAGTAATTTTCCTAATTCCTTACTAGGTCACTCCGTACGTGTACAATTCCAACTTTCTGAAGGCAGGCTCGGTCCGATGTGTCAGAAATACCGGGCAAGAATGAATAAGAAGCATGAGATGAGTACAAGTACCAGGTCTAACCCTAAAGTGTTGTACTCAGTAAAGGTACCCCACTACAGGCCTATAGATATACAAAAATTGACACACTCCCATACGCAAAGTGGGAGATAGCAAGAACAACCAACGGTCAGAAGACCAGTCAAGCAAGAGATCGAAGCAAACCGAAGCTCAGTGTGGATCTCAAGATCACCACGCAGTCTGAATATAAGCAAGCGGCCACAAGGCCAGTTCACATGCAGAGTTATAAAAGCACAAACACTACAGTGATCACAACCTAGCAAGAGCAAGCATGCAGGTATATATTTATATATAGATTACAGTACAAGACAAAGTAAAGCAACCAGCAGTTGAGGCAGAGTAGGCACAAGGCCTAGAGCAGTGCAGAAATGATGTTGATCACCAGACCCTAGGGCCCGGTAAAGACATTAGCAGTGTTGGCCCGAGAGGCCACGTAAGCAAGGCGCAGCTGACCACGCTGCTGCAGCTCCCGAGCAAGAAAGTAACGAAGAGCAATGTGCTTCGTTCTGTGCTCCAGTCTCTGCCCCTGACACAAGGCAATCATGGCCTTGTTGTCGACGTACAGAACTGGAGGAGAACGAGGTCCGCTCACCCCAAGTCGGTCAGCAGGTAGGTCAGCCAGCGTAACTCCTATGCAACCATAGCCCCAGCGTAGAAGTGTACAACAGTTGGATTAACAGCACAAAAGGAGCAGATGTAATAGTTCTTTTGGACATACGGATAATATCGGATAATCCTCACTGGAACACTCTCAATCTATCCTCCTTTACCGCTACATCACCTGTGACTCGTGCTGGAGATGTTGACGTCTTCAGCCGTCAAACAGATCTATCCTTTCACAATCTAATAGCTCACCCTTCATGTAGATTAGTCAAGAAGGAGATCCACTGTGCCAACCTGCATCTCACCCTTATAGCGACTTACTTCCCTGCAGACAAAGGCCTGAGACGAGGTATTATCATATCAGTTCTTGGACTGACAGTTGACCTCATCCCGCGCTGCTCTCATCTGCTCATCGTAGGAGATATTAACATAGTAGAGAATCCAATACTGCACAGGACATCTATGTCAAAGTAACAACTTGTAAATAATGTGACTCAACAATGGCATACACGGGTTGATATAGTATAAACCCTAGCCAACCCTAGCCACACATGTAGACCACCTAGACTAGCAAACACAAACTATAACAATTATAGTTTGACACACCCCCATAGTCTAGGTGACGGTAGTTATGTGGAGAGTAATACACAGTCTAAAAGCAAGGGTCACAGAACCAATCTGCAAGAACAAGCAACGATCACAAGACCAGTCCACAAAAACACATCAAATCTCGAGGTGGATCTCAAGATCACCACACAGTCCAAGAACAAGCAAGAGGCCACAAGGCTAGTTCACATGCAAGGACATAGGAAATAAAGAAGATGCAACAGTACAAGACATGCATGACAAGCACCTCTACGTAAGCAAGGGGCCACAAGGCCTGTCCACACGCAGAGACATAGGATATATAGTGAGATGCAAGAGTACAAGACAAAGCATCTCTACGCAAGCATGTGAGGGCCTGCACACAAGGCCTAGCAGGGTGCAGAAACGCTGGCGGTCACAAGGCGGCAACACCTTGGTGAAGATGTCTGCAGTGTTGGCCTCAGAGTCCACATGACGTACGAGTGCATGGCCACGCTGCTGTAACTCTCGCATAAGGAAGTAACGAAGCTGGATGTGCTTCGCCTTCCCAACCAGTCAGGGCTCCTCGCACAACAGAACAGCAGACCTGTTGTCAGCTAACAAGACTGGGGGAGAGCAAGATCCCTTACCAAGGTTGGTGGGGAGGAAAGACAGGCAACGAAGCTCCTGTGTGGCCATGGCCGTAGCGTACACCTCTGCCTCACAGCTGGAACCGGAGACGGACGACGCCCGAGTCAACCTCCTCGAAACAGCTCCAGTCCCAAGGCTGGAGCAGTACCCCTGTGTAGGTCGCAGCGTCTCAGCAAAGTTGGCCCACAACGAGTCCGAGAAGCCTGTGAGTGTAACTGGCTGCTTCCCTCCAAGGACAAGTCCCATGCGTCGCCTCTCTGTCCCCTGTATCCGTCTCCCCATGAGCTGAAAACCGTCGCCCCCCCTGAAACCCGCCACCCCACGAGCTAAACTCGCCGCCCCACCTGAAACCCACTACCCACGAGCCGAAACCTGCCGCCCCACCTGAAACCTGTTGCCCCACAAGCTGCCCCACCTGCCGCCCCACCTGTAACCAGCCGCCCCACCCGCTACCACACCCGCAACCTGCTGCAACACCTATTCCTTGCTACCCCACCTGTAACTGCTGCCCCACCAGCTAGCCCCCAGCCAGTAGGCCCCGCTACCGACTGCTACTAGCCGTTTCCCACCGCACTAGACCGCACCAGACCGTATCAGGCCGCTCCTCACCGCACACGACTAGCCGTTTTCCATCGCACCAGACTGTACCTGACCGCTCCTAGCCACTCCCCACCACACTCGGCCGTCTCTAGCACCTACCATGGCGTCTACTAGAGTTCTGCTGCAGCAAGGTCAACCGCTACGACCGCAGCTGCAGCACTCCCGGCAGTGCGGTCTTCAGGGCCCTAGGAGTACCGGCCCCAGCAGTGGCTCAGCCAGCAGTAGGCGCGACGTCGGTCCCTGTGGATACCGGATCCTGACTGGCTCCAGTGCTGGCACTATCTGCTGACGACCTGACTACTCTGCGTCCCGTTGCTACCATCGCCTCGACAACCTTCACCGTGAGCGTTTTGAACCTGACGTTGTTACATCGCACTGGCCTTCGCATCTTCACCAGGGCACTGTTGCACCAGTTGAGTCTCACCTACCTGGTCTAGGACCTTTGCCGACTACACGAGTAGAGACATATGTTTCCAGTCTTGGTGCGTGTGTAGTTTCTAGTCCAGGTGCCTCTGAGGGTCTTTGTGTGGGAGCTGCAGCTACCACTAGTCTAGTACCAACCTTTGTCATTCATTCACCAGTTACTACTTTGACACAGTGACTGGTCTGCAGACGACAGAAAGAAGTCAAGCGATGCAAGGGTCGTGCGAAGTGTGTCGTGCCACTCACGGGGAACCTGGCGTAGGCCGTGGACTGGTTGACGCAGCTGCAACTGGGTTCCATCAGGGAAAGAGCCGGTGAAGCCAGGCGGGTGATGCAGCTAGATCTGCTCGTGCAGGCTCCCCTGAAGGAACGTTGCGGAGAAGTCGAAGGAGTGTAACTCGTACCCGTACTAGGCTGCAATATGCAGCAACACCCGAAGTGTGGTCATCTTTGGGGTGGGAGTGAAGGTTTGGAAGAAGTCTACCCTCTCTCGCTATCTCAAGCCTCTCGCCATGTAGCGCGCCTTGAACATCGGTGGTGCTCCAAGCTGCCGCTTCACCTTGTAGAGCCATATGCCACTGACGTTGTTCGCCCCAGGTGGTGGGACGGCGTTGACATAGGTGCCTTAGGACCTATAAGATGCCATCTTTGCCTCCTTAGCTGCTATCTAGTACGAGGCCGAAGGTCCCGATACCGCCTCAGCGTGAGTGCGAGGGATCGGGATATCAAGGGCATCTGGATCCCCCTCAGGGGCAAGCAACATGGCGCAGAGATGGGGACAGCGGCTGCAAGGAAACGAAGCTCGAACTGCCTGTCTTCCAGGACCTCCAGGGGAAAGGCAAAAACACCCCTAGTGGACGGAGAACGAGCAGTGCCACTCACCAGGTGAGAGGCGTAGTCAAGGCAGTAGGAGGACGCAAAGTCACTGACAGTAGTGATAAGGGCCGAGACATACAACAGGGGGACAGTCGGGTGGGTGACTAATGCGGACTGAACACAGGAGACGACAGGACGTGAGGCACGGAGGTAGTTGGGCAATGGGTCGTGAAACACAATGAGGGACGACTCAAGAGGCTGTGGAAGGGCCGAAGGAGGTGGAACACGAGAGCGGAGAACAAGGTGAAATGGGCCGTTGGCACGGTAACAGGACTGACGAGGCTCTAGGGATACAGCTCGACTAAGAGGACCACAAACCAAGCGTGCAAGTGCTGGGCCGGGCAGGTCCTGCATTCGCTGCTCCTCTGCCTCCTCTAGCGGCTGCTGTTGCGGCACCTGCCCCTTGCTGCTGCTCCTGTGCCTCCGGGTGCGTCTCCTCCTCTGGCCTCTCATGCTGCGACTGCAGCTGCACCTCCTGTTAAGATGCAAACTTAGTAGCTTAGGAAACCTAGGTTTAGGAACCATAGCTAGAGTAGCAAGGGTAGCATG